CGAGGAAAAATATTGATGAATTGATTGTTTGATTCAGAAAAATGGTGATAAAAGTAGACTTGGAGGAGGCAAAGAGAGAGAAAAAGAAGAATGGATGAAATTTTGGGAAAAAGGATGCTGGAGAAAGAAGATGAGAGTATAATTATAATTTTAGATGAATTAGATAATTATAGTTTGACACATTATTTATTTATCCATGATGTTAAGTTGACATGTCATAATATTTCCTTGAGTTAATGAGACATGTGGGCCGATTTTTAATAGAATGATCAAATCATGTTAAAATGATAAACAGTAAGGATCAAATCAAAAATCTTTTGAGTTGAGGGACTAAATTGAAGGTTCGAACAATAATTAAGAGATTAAAATAGAGATTTAACCTGAAAAATATACATAAAAAGTTTTTAAATTGAAGTTTTCAATTTTTTTTTTTTTTTTGAACATAGGGGAATTTTGGGGGAGGGGGGATTAGAACCAAAGTCATAGCCTTGGAATATACACACCCTATCCACTGCACCAAGTGCTGCGGGTGTGTTGAAGTTTTCAATTATACTCACCTTGATCATCGAGTTTTTAATTTTTAAACTTAACAATTAAAATTTAAATTGTTTTAAATTAGTTTAATATGATTTTAAATCAAACAAATATAAGACCAACTCAAACCCTGTCTGTGGATTAAAGTTTCATTAGCTTTCAAATTTTTTTTTCGACTGTAAATGTTTTGGCCATCCCCTATTTGAAACGATTGCTTATGCTCATTTCAAATTCAAATTAAGTTGAATTTGAAAATATTTTCAAATAACTGTTGAAACAGTTTTTCAACCATTTTCGACCACTGCTTTTCTCACTTTTGTTGTTTTGAACATCCTTTTCCATCTCACTTTGTTCTCTTTCTTCCTTATTTTGGGACATCGCATCATGACTCAAAGAAAAACCATACTCCACATGTTTGCTTTTAAAAGTAATGCATATATATAAAAAATATCATATAATATTATATGATATAAATAATATATATTATTAGAAAATACCATATATATATATTAGTTGCATCACCTCTAGTATATTTAAAATGAAATATTTTTATTTTTTATTTGGGTTTTATAAGAAAATATTTGGTGTGTATTTCTAGCAAACTTTATTTAAGTTTTTGTATAGCAAGAGTGGAGTTTTTTCAAGTGTTTTATTTAAAGATTAAATATTTAAAATATAAATTTATATAAAATAATATTTTTTTAGTATTTATTGTTATGGTGTTGGCACCCATATTAATTTGGTGCATTCAAGAAAATTAATTTACTTACAAATTGTTGAGGTAGGGGGTTAATGAGTTAGTAGTGATAATTACATGAAAGTTAACTATGTTGCCACTTACGAGAGATGAGAAGGGTCCTTGTCGCTTACACCTGTTTCACATATCATGTATAAGAGGTTACGTGTCATGAGTCGTCTTTTCTTCTCTTCTTCTTTGGTAAGGATGAACTACAAGTTTTCTCCAACGAAGTCTGAAAATAGAACTTCTCTAGCCAAGTCAAAAGAGTGGAGCGATGATGGTACTCCCAAGATCACAACTACATAACCACCAAAATAAATGAATGGATGTTGAGCAACGTGATACCTTTAGCAAAGTCTGAGAGTAAACCTTTTCTAGCCAAGCTAGAAGAGCTAGATGAAGATGATGCTTCCCAATGGCGATTATATAATCATGAAAAAAGAGACGAATAAGTGAGTTGCATTGTAACTAGAGTAGCTTGGATAGAAAATGTAAATATCAACTTATGCAATAAAATGAGCATATTTAGATGCAATATGTTGTAGAATAGAAGAAATTAATAGTAGATGTGCCCTCTACTATCTTCAAAAAATGTATGAACTTTTAAAATAAATAACCTTTGAGGTAGAGTTCAAAGTATAATAATTTCCTTCTTCGAATTATGCATACAAGAAGAAATAAACTAGAAAGAAGTGATGGGAAATGGAAGAATGACCATTGTGGGGGCTTTTGATGAGGACTTGATCCCGTATGTTAATGCTAACTTTGTTACTAATTGATCCTTTGATACTCAAGAAAAATAACCTAGAACCTCAAGTTGTGATGTGAGATCTTCCAACCATAATGAACTGTATGTCTGTTGAGTAATTTGTGTGGCTAGAAGTATAGAAAATAATGTAGAAAATGGAGGTTTCTGGGGAGTATACACATGTATGTGAGCTTAGAAATGAAAAGGAAATAAGTTGCAGCAAGTTTGGGAATTTTTAATGAGAGAGTCAAGAGGTTAAAGATGAAGATGAGAGACTAAAATGTGATATGGGGCATGAAGAGTGAATTGTTTGTGTGGAATGAATGATAATAATAATGCCAAAAATGAAAGAAAAATCAAATATATATAGGTAGTAGCATTTTGGTAATTTTGGGTTTATAAGGCCAAAGTAACACAGCAATCCAACGGCTAGATTTGTGTTGGCTGAGGGTAGGTGTCAAGTTTTGGGATGATTTAGGCACTTTTGGCAAGGCTAATGTGTAATTATGATTTTTTCAACGTTTCTAATGAAGGATTGCTAATTTGCTAGGGCTTTCTAATTCTTAGGAACTTCATGTCTATATGTAATGCCATATTTGAGGTTTAATTGAATACTGCTAGCAAATCTTTTGTTATCCAAGATTTTAATAAATTTTCCAAACAAATGCAATCTCTTTTTCCAATTTAGCATGTAGTGAAACTTGTGCAATTATTTGTGCATTTAATACCATTGTAGATTAGTGATGGAGACTCAAATGGCATCTCTACTTAATTTTTAATGAGGTTGTAGGTCTTCTAATTAGTATCAAATGATATAGTTTTGAAATCAAGTTTTGCCTCCACATATTTGTCGCTTATCCCCTCCTAACAAAGATGAGCAGCATTGTCGGGCCCACACTGGGCTGGCACAAATAATATATTTTGCTAGGCAAGCAATGTTTATCTATCTATACCTACCATGTCATTACTTTCATAGTTTATCTAGAATAATCTCCATGAGTTGGGTTCATGGATTCATTGATAACCTATATAGAAAAATAGTGATCAGTTGATCAAAATGATGTAATTTGATAAGTAAATAATAAAGGAAAGAGATTTCCTTATATATGTCTGACAATGCTGTTATGTATTGTAGTATTAAATATAATTGGACCTTTTGGTAAACGTACATTCAATGCATCAATGAGCCTATAAATTGAGACAGGTCTTGATGATGTGGAGACTATCTGAAGTTGAGTTTAACCCTTTACAAAAATGTGTATCAACACTAATAAATCCATTTTGTTGGGTTTATATAAAATAATATTAATTATGATGATATGAAATCAAAATAAACTTTTTTTAATTGTTCCCATTGTACATTCTCTTAGTACCTCCTTCCATTTTACTTGTTATTATATTTTTACATGGTATAATTATTAAAAAAAATTATTGAGATTCATAAAAAAAATACACTTATTCCAAAACAAAAAAAAATTATTAATTAAAATTTTATATTTGTCTTTACTATTGGGAGTCGTTGGAAAGTTTGAATGTGTTTTTTATTAAGATGAAATAATTGTTAAAATAATCGAGGCAAAATTAAAAATGAAAAATTTTAAAATTAAAATTGAAAAAGAAATTAAATCATCTTTTTATAATAAAAAGAGTCGCACATAAAGTTAACCAACAGCAATCAATAAATTTCATGTTCATGGCCTCTTCCGATTATTTTTATGCTCCTGCATCACACAAGTTAAAACCTTCGCCATAAATAAATACATCATCGCCGATCGCAAGAGAAGTTGTGTGAATCGTTCACCCCTTTCATCTAGATATGGAGGAAAAACACGTTCTGATACTGCCCTTCCCAGCACAAGGCCACATCAAGCCCATGCTATGCCTAGCAGAGCTCCTCTGCCACGCCGGCCTACATGTCACCTTCGTCAACACCCACCACAACCACCACCGTTTAAACAACATCAAAGACCTCTCAACTCGGCACCCTACTCTTTGCTTTGAGTCCATATCTGATGGCTTACCTGAAGATCATCCACGTGATATCCAACAACACATCACGGAGCTAATTAAGTCAATCCAGAATGTTACCAAGCCACTTTTTCGAGATCTGTTGAGAAGTCAACGATCCAAGGCATCGCAGCATCCGGTCAGCAGTGTAATAACGGATGGGATTATGTCTTTTGCCATTGATGCTGCGGAAGAGTTGAAGATGAAGGTGATTGTCTTTCGGACTTTCAGTGCTAGTTGTTTATGGGCTTATTTCTGCTTACCTAAACTCATTGAAGAACGGGAGATTCCTTTTCCATGTGAGTTTAAAGCATTTATTTCTTCAACATATATAATTGTCTCTTGCTACTTGTCCTTTTGTTTCTCTGTTTCCTTTTTGTTTTTTCTTATAATGAGATAATGAGTTATATAACAAATGATGTCCCTTCTCCTTTCAAATTCTTTCAAAAACTTAAACTAGAAATCTCTAACACAAAAATTTAAGTTCTTAACCTTTAGGAGGTCGTATGCAACCAACAAAATACCATGTTCTTTCACCATGTCCTTTCCTTTCTCTAACACAGTAGTAATACCATATCAACAAACAAAATTGGTTGGAAAAAATTGTGTACCTTAATCCATGCACAAGAGAAATTTTCTCACAATGAAGCAACTAGAACACAAGGTCACAACAAACCCATGTTGAAGCTAAAGAACATTTTAGCCATGCCTCTTTCATAGATCATAGTCACCTTCATAAACTTTGTCCACAACAACCATAGTCTTATTCACTCAAGTTCAATGATATAGAGTACAGACGCCTTCCACCGTCGCTTTCCTAACTTCTGCGTTTCTGAGTAATTTGTGAGTTGGCAAGCACTAAGCAAAATGAAACATTAATTACCGTAATTCTCTTGTTACAGATAAAGACATGGACGAGCTAGTGACTTGCATTCCGGTTATGGAGAACGTTTTACGACGCCGAGATCTTCCCGGTATCTTCAGACTTGAACAAGCCGATAATCCAGTCATCCAATTCTTCATCAACGAAACATTTGCCATGCCTCGAGCTTCTGCTTTGATCCTCAACACTTCGACGGACTTGAAGATCCCATGATCTCCAAACTCGGTTCTTTCTTCCCCACAATTTACACAATCGGCCCTTTGCATGCTCTGCTGAGTTCCGTCATCAAGGACTCGCCGCCGTTACCATCAACCAACAGTCTTCTATGGAAAGAAGACCAAGACTGCATGTCGTGGCTTGATTCGCAACCGTTAACATCTGTCGTCTTCGTTAGCTTTGGGAGTCTGGTACAACTGACACTCGATCAAGTTCTAGAGTTCTGGCACGGGTTGACCAGCAGCGGCAACGGGTTCCTGTGGGTGATTCGATCGGACTCCATTACCGGCGAACATGATATGGAACGGATCCTAAAGGAGCTCAAAGACACAGCAGAAGGAAGGGGCAGAATTGTGAGCTGGGCACCACAAGAGGAGGTTCTGGCCCATCCAGCCGTTGGTGGGTTCCTGACCCATAGTGGATGGAACTCAATCATGGAGAGTATTTATGCAGGAGTGCCCATGATCGGTTGGCCCAAATTTGCTGATCAGCAACTCAACAGCAGGTGCGTGAGTGATGTGTGGAAGATTGGTTTTGACATGAAGGACACGTTGATAGATCAACGGTGGAGAAAATGGTGAGAGATCTTATGGTGAACAAGAGAGAAGAAATAATGAAATCAACGGATGAGATGGCAAGGATCGCGCGTGATATCGTGCAGGAAGGTGGGTCCTCCTATTGCAACTTCGAGAAGTTAATTCAGGACATAAAATCTGTTGCTTCTTTGGCTGGTAATGGGGATGTGTAGGAAATATAAAAAATATGAAAGTTTTCAAATAAGGAACTCGTATTTAATTGTAGTATTGAAGTTGGTTGAACTATTAATTGTAGTATTAAAGTTGGTTGAACTATTAATTGTAGTATTAAAGTTAGTTGAACTATTAACTGTAGTATTGAAGTTAGTTGAACTAGGCCATTTCTGTTATTAAGGTGTTTTTCAGAGTCAATCACATTATATCGGATTTGCTCGTAATTACCTTGAAAAATGTTCTAAATGGTTAAGAAATTGAGAATTTAAATTAGATATTTTGACTTTAAATTTTAAAACAAGTAGGGAATGATAAGAGAATAGGAGAATTAGTTTTTATAACATAGCTTATTATCTAGTATACCCAAAAAAATGTTCATATTTAAAGAGTTAATTTTTTTTTCCTCTTTAATTTCATTCAATTCAAACATATCGTAAAAGAATAAATTTACATTCATTAGCTTGATTTAAATCAAATCATTTACATTAAAATTAAAATAAAAGATAACATAAAAATTTTTCTATAAAGAATCAAAATCTAATCAATTTGTATTTTAGTAGTATTTAAAAACTTTTTAATGTCTATTATTTTTCTATTGAGATTAAGTTGTGAGCATCAAATTAAATACTAGTAATCATTTAACAAGAATTCAAACTTTATTCCGGACTTACCTGGGGAAGGGGCTTTCCTTCCCTTTCTTTGATCGAGACAACCCCTCATCAACCTTAGAGAATTCAACCTCATCTAAGACATATAATTAAGAACAAAGGGAGTAGCATAATATATTATATTTAGTTCTAGCACGGCTTGTTAAACAGCGGTAACAAGTTCCTATGGGTAAATCCGATCCGACTCAATTACAGGGGAAGTTGACCTGAGTGGATCCTGCAAGGGCTTGAACTTGAAGACAAATGCCAATAGTTGTGAGTTGGGCTCCACAAGGGGAGGTTCTGGCCCATCCAGTCATTGGTGGGTTTCTAACCCATTGTGGATGGAACTTTACACTGGAGAGTATTTATGCTTAAGTGCCCATGATTTTTTAGCCCTTATGTGATGATCAGCTAATCAACAGCAGGTGTGTGTAGTGAAAGATCGGTTTTGATACAAAGGACACGTATGAGAGATTGATGGTCGAGAAAATGGTGGGAAATCTTATGGTGAACAAGAGAGAAGAATTAGTGAAATCAACGGACACTATCAGAAAATTCATATTTAGTGATTAAAGTATTGATCATTAAATTTTTATTTTTTGTCATAAATTATTATTAATGATAAAATTTAAACCGTTAGTAAAACCTTTATCACTAATACTTTTAATAACAAATTATGTACTCGTCACAGAAAATAATCTTATAGTGATAAAAAAATTTTGACATTGTTAACAAGTTATTTATAACAATTTTATTCGTCATAAAAAATATTCGTCATAAATACAATTGTGATGAAAAATTTAGTCATTAATTATTAAAATTGATATTAAATAAAAAAATATTTATATAATTACAACGTAAATATTTTAACAAAAATTTTGTCACAAAAAAATAAAATATAAATTTATTACAAAAGTTTAATAAAAACACATTATTATTTCAATACTAATCAATTTTGATTAATCAAGCTCAATTAAAATTAATCAGGTCCAAATAAATCTCAAGTTTTATTGAGTTTCACATGTTTTATAGTGCAAAAATTTATTTTCTTAAGTATTTATTATCGATGTGGGATATATTTATAGTGCAAAACTTTATTTTCTTATGTGTTTTTTATCGATGTGGGATGCATTGATTAGAGAAAATTGATAGTTTTTAGTGACGAAATATATTTTTTAGTGATGAATTATTTGGTCATCATTGAATGTGTAAGGTATATGTGACCAATATTAAAATTTTGTCATAATTGTAATGCATTATAGTGATTATTTTTATTGATAAAAACTTATTTTATCTCTATGAACATTTTTCGATGATGAAATATATTTTTTATGATGAATTTTTTTCTTCATCATTAAATATATATGCATCTATGATTAATTTTTTAGATATGTCATAACTGTAATCAATTATAATAATGATTTCAAAATTCATCATAAATTTTTGTCACTAAAAATCATTTTTCTTGTAGTGGAATGAGATCTCAAGGATGGCCCATGATAGTGTGAAGCAGGGTGGGTCCTCATATTGCAGCTTCGTGAAGTTAATTCAGGACATAAGATCACTTCGTCCCTTGGCTAGTGGTAATGGGAATGTGTAGGAAATATCTAATTAACAGTACAAGTTTGTCATCTCTTCCCCGGCCCCCAAAAGATGAGACACTACTTGTATTTGCTTGAAGTTTGTATTGTGTAGGCCTAGGCAATGACGTTAGATGAATCAATAAAATGAAATTAGTATGGAGCATAAACACTCATAATATTACCCAACTATATATACCAAAAAAAACTTGTGAGATCCACATTTGCCAAAATTAATTCACAAGTATTCAAACTTAACGTAGTTTTTCTTTGGGAAAATAAATTATTTGTTAACATTATATTATATTAGTACGATGATATATTATGGATTATGAAAGTTCATAATGAAAGTATAGAATGCTAAATTGAAATTGGGTTATGAAAGCTTAGATCTTTTTATTTAAAACAAGCAAATTCGACATAGAGAAAAAAAAAAAAAGCAACAGGTACAAAACTCACAACAGGTTATTGAAGCACATAATAACCAGATTATTTTTTAACTATCGTAGCAAACATAGGTAGATAAGTGCTTTAACCGCTGATTTCAACGGACTTGACTTCAGCCTTCTTCTCCACCTTTGGAACCGTGACAGTTAGCACTCCATTCTCCATCGATGCTTTCACTTCATCAGGCTTTGCATTTTCCGGCAGCCTAAACCTCCGGAGGAACTTCCCACGGCCCCTTTCTACACGGTGCCACCTGTCGTTCTTGTCCTCCTTCTCCACGCTCCTCTCTCCGCTAATCTGGAGAACCCTTCCATCCTCAACCTCAACCTTGACCTCCTCCTTTTTCAGGCCAGGAAGGTCGGCCTTGAACACATGCGCCTCTGGGGTCTCCTTCCAATCAACTTGGGCATTCACAAATGTTGCTACCTCGTTGTTGGAGGTAAAAGGCGTCCAGATTTCAAAAGAGAATGGATCGAAGATGCTCCTGTTGCCATGAAGAGATGGAATTAGAGACATTTTCTTTTTCTGGAAATGGTGCACAAATTTAAAAATGGCTTTCTTTTCTTTTTCTGGGTGTTTCTCTAGACCAATTTAAGAGACAATTCCTTAATGACTGAATGTGATGAGTAGGTGTAGTCCTATATATTTAACTTCAGGGGGTGGTCTTGAAGTTTCGGGCCTCTTCCTTTTTGTTTTTCTTTTGGTGAAATTCTGGGCTCTTCCTTTGCTTTTTGATGATTAATTGATTGATTTGATTGATTGAATACCGGGATGCTCCATGTTTCATCTATAACCTTCTACCAAGTTCTGTCTACGTTAACGCTATACATCATTTCACGGACAAAAGAGTTCAAGCCCAGATACAAGCCCAAACAACATTGAGTGTTGTAATGCTATTATGCTATCTTCATGGTTGACGCCAGAACATGAGAGTTCAGGCCCATGACCGAGTTTCACTAACATTATATTAGTTAGCCCAGATACTCAAATTTTTTGTCGGGCCATATCTTTCTCCTTTCGCATCGGAAATTCTATAATTATTTAATTTAAAGATACAATTGATATAAATAAATTTATAAATTATTTAAATAATTTTAATCTTAAAAAAATTAAAAAATTAATAATTATTCAAGATAAAGAAAGTAATTAATTTAAATATAATATAATTATAATATAAAAATAATATTTATTCGTCTTACCTCATAAAAATTAAAAGAAATTATTTTTAAACTATATTATCTCAATAAACTCATTGAAAAAATTAAAATATATTATTTTTGGAATATGAATTAAAATATTTTTTTATAGTGTTTAATTAAAATTACATAATTTTAAAATAGTTTTTTAAATTTTAAAAAAATAAATAAGTAAACACTACTCTTATATATAAAA